GTATAATGATTCATCGTAATAGGCTGCCGACTGAACCAGAAACAACAGAGTCAACTCATCCATAGAATCCTAGAACCTGAGTGAGTGACCTATTTTGGATCACCCACCACCCCCATATTTGGGAGGTCTTTTCCTCTCATTTCCAGGGGTTGCGGTTGTTCTCTTTTCAGCCTAAAGGACGGACGTGCGCCAGTTGTATTTCACGAGCTTTGGCCGGCCGTCCCAAGCGGTCAAGGCGTTATGGTTGGACCAGGACCATCCAGTGACGACCGAGCCCGACCGAACGAGCCGACGTACGTGGGCGCACTCGGTACCCGGCGATGCGCACTCGGTGGGATCATTCATCACCTTCATATGAAAAGACACGGGGCTCCAGCCCCGGAGACCAAAGCCAACGTCCGGGTGTCGTCGTTTCTACGGGGTAGGATCACCCGGACCCCACTGGAGACCGGCCCCTGAGGTGGTGCCGGGCAAGGCGGAAGAAGAACTGCTTTCGGGACTTCTAGAAAGAGGCAAGACGCTTTTGCGCCACTTGCAGGGTGTGTTTTTTTAAATGCAGAGTGAACATGATGACCACTTAAGAGCTTTTTTTCCCTGACCTTCCCACGTTGGAAACAAAGAAAGCCTCTGATGAAGATGTGAAGGGGTCTGGACCATGGTCGGAACTTGAGTTCAATCTTCGGGTTTAACGCTGGGCGGAGAGGCAGAGCCACTAAGTCCACCCCTGCAGTGAAGGGCATGAGCTAGGGTGTGGAGTGTCAAAAAGCAACATCCTTATTGAACATCTGGAAAGAGGGGGACATGTTGGTTTGGGAAGTGTAGACCATGTATCATTGCTCCTACAAAGAGCATGTGCAGGCTCTGGTAACCGACTGAGACAGAGACTGAGATGCCTTTTCTTGCAAGCCGACAGGTTTAGAGTCATGCTTTGATGGTCCTTTGGCTTCAAAAAGGGGCGTCCTCGTTTCTTGCCGCAGCGCAGTTTCACGTTCCTCATGCGAAGGTCCAGATGGTCACCGAAGCGGGTCATTCTGCAGAGCTTCTGACGAGAAGTGCCAATATGTATTTTGTAGACAGATATTGTAGCTACATAGGTCTCTTTCTGACAAGGTAAGCTACTACATTGCATAATACAGTAATGTTGCATGTATTCTAAAGAGGTCTAAAAGAGACAGCCGTTTTTTTGTTTTAACCACCAGCAGCCAACATGCCATGCAATGCCTATGTGAAAGAAATAACTATCATGTCACGCTATGCGAGTTGTTGAGAATGGGACCACCAACAAGTTATACTTTGACATATCTTGACCATTCTGGGAAAGAACAGCCATGCCTGCAACTCCAGAAAACATTTTTGTGTTTCATTTGGTTGCAAAGGACAGGCTTGTACATGCGCTTTGCTCTTCGCACACTCTGAATTTCTAAGGAATTGAAAGCCAACCAATTCTGCTGCATTCCCTTGCATCAAGCGTTTGTAAATTGTAAAGCTAGCTACACATCAGGCTTGTTTCGCCAGCACAGACTTTTTCTGTTTGATACAGCAGAGATAGCAGTTAGACAAACACTCCATTAAGATTTTGTGCAAACCGTCACGAGTCACTCACCTGAATCTGGAGGCTTCAACAAGTAAGTCACCATGCGATGCTGAAAACAAACATGCGATGCTGAAAGAAACAGACATCATCCCAGATCGGAAAACTTTCTTCCGTGTATGTTTCCCAAAGGGCGTTGATGATTATAGTACATTCTCTTTTCCATCAAGGATTCGCTCAACCAACACTGGATTGGGCACTCCTTGGTTTCGAAACTTGTCTCCAAGAGCAATTAATCATATGCCATGGTTTGCAGCGGCAAACATGGTCCAAAGGATTTGATGCGAGGCGGCAGCTTGCCCTTGGTAGGGATTACATCGCTCGAGACATTGCTTGAGTTGCTCTGGCCAGCGGAAAGGAGACGACCATGAGCCCCAGTTCCTTGAGCCATACCTTTTCTAAAGGGCAACGATTATAAGCTGGTCTAGCTACATTCGGGATCCGCCCTCCAGGACGAGAGGGCGAAACTGGGCCGCGGGAGATTCACTTTGCCACACATGTCACATGATCCACTCAATACCTTCAGGTGACGTACAGAACTTACAGAACCTCAGTTCAGCAGAGCTTTGACCGCCCAGAGGCCATGGGCGATTTGCATGAAGTCATTGCAGCGTGTGCCGACTTTGGCTTGGCTGCCTTGTTTGAAAGGATGATGAACTTGCCCAACTGTTTAGAGACCCTCCATGACATTCCAACATCCCATCACTCCCATCATTATACTATTACAGCTCATACTCCTCAGTACGCGTCGTTGAAAAAAACAGATCAGCCACCCGCCCTTCACCGTCATCACCCGGAGATCATCCCCAACATCCGCCCCGGAGATCAGCAGCCGCACGCCGAAACACGCCCGGCTTCGGTGAGAGAGTCACCGTCTCCCCAGATCACGTCTTAAAGACCTTCGTTGAGAGAGTGAAGACGCCCGGCCCGGAGCCCCTGAACGGATTCGAGGCGAAGATGTGGCCTACGCATTCAGACGGGGTGGCGAGTGGCGTGCCAGTCGGTGGTGTGAAGCATGAAAAAGAAAGCAAGAGCTGAAGACTTGAAGCATCTTGAAAGCAAACGTAACGTCGGTTGAACATGGAGATGTTGAAGATGTTGAAGCAAAAGCAGATTGCATGGGAAGCGTGTGGCTGTTGATCAAACTGGTCGTCACTATTGCTAAGCAGCGGCAACCAGCTTCTATATGGGATGTCTAACAACGACTACGTGTGAAAACCGTGTAGGTGATGCTGTGGAGCATGCACGGAAGCTTCAAGAAGGTCGGCAGATGGTCGCCGAATGGACGTTGTCCGAAACAACCCCTGCGACGAGTTCCTCATCGAACACGTCTCGCTTCATGCGTTGTGACCGAACGACCGCACGAGTCCCTGTTCGGTGGCCGAACGTAAAGCCAAACAAAGGCCCGAACCGTGCGAAGTGTCGACTTCGTCTGATTGGCAGGTGTTGGGCTCTTCCAGTTTCTTCTAGAGGCGGGGAGACGGTGTTGGCCCGCAACATGCGTCGCATGAACTGGTCGACGTTGACGGTTTTCGCCCTGTTGGAAGACCTTGAAGACCTCGTGTCGTTGGCGGTTTTGAACATTTTCCACGGTTGGGTCGTTGGGGGCGGTTCCAGTCCTCTTCCTGGCTCCTTGGCTCGTGAGCAGCCGAACCGAAAAAACAAAACGTGCAACGACCAAAAAGTAAGACGAGCGGTTAGTGAATCTTCGAAATTGGGCTAAAAGCGTGCGTTGATGCATGCAAATGCTGCAACAGCGAGAACATCGATCACCGATCGCGTTTGATCGTGTGCTTTGCTTGACGTCGCTACGTTTTGGCCGACGCGGGAAAAAATCGTTGCTTCGTCGATATGAGTTATATAGCCGTAGGGGGAGCAATGAAGTGCTCTCTATGTCCTTCTGAGTGCCGCTGCCGGACTTCCTCAGTTCACCTCTTGAGAAAGTCACGGAGCTCATGATCCTCGAGAACCTAGACACAGTTCGCACGCTCGAGCTCACCACAACTGAGTCGTCCGTTTGAGTCTGCGGTACACATGCCCTGGCGCTGCAGCCGGTGATCTTGGCGGAACACGGGTGATTTGGATGTTCCTATTTTTGCCTCAGGGAGTGTCACTCGCACGTTCGCACGTTCGCACGTTGCGCAGAGTCATTAGACATCAGACCATTTGTCTCTCGGCCCAACAAACATATGGAGCCCGGGAGGCCGAAATGTTTCTGCACTCTAAAACGGCCTGAGGCTTCCTCCTATTTTGAATCCCGTAGCAAAGGCTCCATTTGATGTCCATTAATGACAGAAGCCACAGGCCGTTTTAGAGTAGGAAAATTACTGTCTCCCGGGCTCCCCGTTTTTGGGGGACGTCGCAGGCCGTTTAAGAGCGTGGATAATCACACTATATGGTGTGTAGCTGACTTGTGTTGAAAGAGCTCCCCCGGGGATCGTTGAGAACCGCAAATTCCGTGAAGATAGCCGCTTCACAGGGATCAACACAAGCCAGACAAGCCAGCTACACACCAAGAAAATTAGAAACGGGCAAGATAACGAAAGGAGGCACGAAAAAGACCGAAAATTCGCTTGTGATGTACTGTTCTTGGTCTTTCTCACCTTTCTTGTGCGTAGCCGGCTTGAACTAACCCTCTCAAAGCCTATATCTTGGTGGGCTATGTAATTAATCTTCAATGGTCCCGCGGGAGCTCTTTCAACACAAGTCTGCTACACACCATTTATAATTATCCAAGCTCTTAAACGACCTGCGACGTCCCCCAAAAACGGGGAGCCCGGGAGGCCGTAATTTTCCTACACTCTAAAACGGCCTGTGGCTTCCTCCTTTTTTGAATCCCGTAGCAAAGGCCCCATTTGATGTCCATTCGAGGGGTTGAAAAATGACAGAAGCCACAGGCCGTTTTGGAGTGTAGGAAAATTATTGTCTCCCGGGCTCCCCAATTTGAGGGGACGTCGCAGGCCGTTTAAGAGCGTGGATAATTACATATGGTGTGTAGCAGACTTGTGTTGAAAGAGCTCCCCCGGGGATCATTGAGAACCGCAAATCCCGTGAAGATAACCGCTCCAAAGGGATGAACACAAGCCGGCTACACACAAAGAGGGCTAGAGAAAGATACGATAAACGAAACGATACACAGTAAAAACCGAAGAAACTAAAAAGCAAAGCAAACCTAGAAAGAAAAGAGCAAAGGAAAAGGCAGACAGGCGGAAAAGACGAAACGAAAAAGAAGGAAAACCCAAGATCCGAAAGTCGAAGGAAGAAAGAACGCAAGGAAAGAGAGAACAGAAAAAGACAGAGCAAACCAGAAAGGAACCAACCGTAAACCAAAAGGTCGCAAAACGAAGAGAAAGAAAAGAGAAAAGAAAAGCAAGGGCAGAGAAGAAAAATATAAAGAACATGTAAATCAAACGAATCAGAGGGAAGCGAAAAGAAATGAACAAAATCCTTTTAGTCTAACGCAGTGCCATACGTTTAGCTGAGGTTAGCCGATTTCCCTTGTGTCGGAACAGAACATAACACAGATGAAATGTCAATTGCTGATCGCAGCCTGTTGTATCAAGCTATTATCTCGATTAAGCTTCCCTCTTCGCAGTCTCAGCCAACTTGATTGCTGGGGCCTTATACATAAGGGTTCTCACTAGAAGCCAGCCATTGAAGAGTCATGCCCGCGCCGACTGAGGCAATGGCCACTGTGCGCATCGAGGTCGAGTTTGCCCACTTTGCATGCTGCTCCTGCGGCGCCTCGCTGGCAACGCATGAGCAAAAGACGTGCAAATAGAGACAGAAGAAAACAGAGAAAGAGAGAGAGAGAGAGGGAAAAAAGAAAACAAACGAAAGACACAACAAAAGTGAGAGATCAATCAAGAATCAAAACAAGCAAAGGAATGAAGAACATTCGATCGTGTCGACGAAGTGAGGTGAGAGCGGCGTGCCGCTCGGACCGTTGGATTGGGACGCGGCCGCCTGGTGGAACACCTTGCGCTGCAAGGCTGGACACACAAAGCACGCAAAGCACGCAACGCACTTAGAAACCATTCCATCGAGTCGGATATCGCCCGCTTGTTAGGAATGCCTCCTCAACCTCGGCTACCAGGCTTGGCCGGCAGAATGCCTTTCTCCAGAGGATCGGGGTCGATGTTACCGCTGAGGTCGTCAGAAAGACGTCCGTGCGAACCTGGCGCCCAAACCGAAACCAAGGCCGCCCATTGGATATGAAGAAGAGGATAGTATTGTCGTAACAAGAGATAATAAAAAACACATATATAATAGTAATAAGCCAGAACACCAGATTTTATGTTTCTTGGTGCCCTGCAATTTCCAGGTGAACATCGACGCAACTTCTGGGCGCCACCGGGTGGCGGGTCCATGTGAAGGTCCTTTGCAGGACCAAGAACATCGCCAGGTGCCAGGTCCTCCACCAGGACCGCCGAAGCGGTGGTTAATGGACCCCTTAACAGCTAAGGGGCTTTAAGTAAAGACACCCCTTGGAGAGGGCCCTGGCAGAGTTTGATTGGAGATCCGCGATGCACCTGCTCAGAGCTGCTCAAGTCTGAGAGGGAGGTCCGAGACCAGGTCGCACAGCATTTGCATCACCAGTCGGGGACAGAAGAGGGTTCATTTATTCGCCCAGGATGTGAGGCATCCCTGGCTGCTTTGGAGGCATCTCTGCTTCCTGTCTACACATACTAGATGTTCTTTGGCATCGCCAGCCGGCGGAAACTATGGGGATAAGTCCATGCGCTCACCACAGCACTTCAGCCCACGCCGACAGATCTGCACAGAACGCGATAAAGCGCAAAAACAGAACTCCTATGTGCATTGACAAAGGTGCTTCTTGGCATGGAAGCAAACCCTATGGAACCCACGGCTATAGCATCTGTCAGCGAGACGATAGCAGCAGCAAGTGTGCTAGTGCCACAATGCAGGAGATCTATCAGAATGGCCCAATCACTGGCATGATTTTTGTGCATCAAAGCTTCCTTTCCTATAAGTCAGGCGTTTACAAGGCCGTGCCATACCATCAAGAGGCCATACAGGCCGTGCACGAAGAAAACATTGAGAGGCCATACCATCAAGATCATTGGCTGGGGCTGGCTGAGCATGGAACTCCCTACTGGCGAACGTGGCGAAGAATTGAAATGCAGATTGGGGTGACCATGGCTACTTCAAGATCGAAAGGGGCACCAACCAGTGGTGGATCCCTGGCTGCCCAAGAGTTTGGTGCCCCTCAATGCGGGATGATCAAAATGATGGGTGTTTCTGTCTGAGTTGGGGATGGACATTTGTTGAAAAGTTTATGATAATCGTCCCACATAATATATGTTATTCTCTATTCTTCGACAATTTACCTGCCGTTGCTTGAGCCGCCATCAAGAAAAGGACAAGTGTCTGAACTGAAATACCACCAGATTCTAAAACACACTGTCACACCGCCACAAACATATACACAGACATAACAACATGGTAATATAACATAACATATTTAACAACTTATTAAACACAACATATTTAATGGCATAACATAATAACAATATACTGTATATACAGTAGTTCAATATACGCAGACATGACCAAACGGTAATCTCCTTTGAATCTGCACCACAGGAAGAGTCCAGGATCCGCAAAGCCTCGCCTGCACCCTCGAGGCGAACGACGAAAGAGCGTCACGGGCGTCTCGGGCGTCGGGCACGGGCGTCTGTTTGGTGAGCAGAAGGAAGCGAGAAGTGAACACAGAACACAGGGAATCCGATGTCCATTGTTACTGTAGATCAAGAAACATCAAGGGGGCGGCGAATTGGCCGGGCGGCTAGCGCCGCTCACGCTCACGCTCACGGTCATTGGCCGGGCGACCCACCCCTATAGCCTTCATGGATAGCACCCCTTTGTGACAAAAGGGTTTCCGGTATTTTGTTCGGTGAGTCTTTCTTGGACGACCAGGCCTGATGGTTTGGTGGCCGGCATCTTTCCCAACACCCTGGAGGCCACCGTGAGAACTTGCGGAAGTTGGGCCCATGACCGACCCGGGAAGACGGGAAGACCGGTCGTTGAGACCTCCGGATGGAAAAGGCGCCGGGCTCCAGGTGGTGACTCACGACCCAGCCAGTTCACACCCGAAGAATCCGGGCCCGAACCAACACAATGCGTCCGTTTCCTTCGCGTCTTGGCCCCCTGCCAAGAGGTCGGGCCTGGGGCGATGTGACGGGCCAGAAAACAGCTTCGTTGGGTTTTGTCCCATGGATGTTCCATGGTGTTCCTCCTCCAGACTCCCCTAGACTCGCGATGAGAGCCGTGGAAGAGTCTCAGGATCTCGGCCTATTGCACAATCATCGGTCCGTGAGGTGGACTATGGTGGACCCTCACAGGAATGGTGAACTGGTGAAACCAAATGGGAGTTTCACGGGTTGGACTGAGCTTCATGGGTCGGACTCCCAGTTGGAATGACTTGAATGTTGGAACGTGGCCAAATGGTATCCATTCCTCCCGTTTGGATGGTGTTTCACCATGTGAAACCCCTTCCTGTGGGGGGTTTCAAAGAGTCAACTCTCTGCATGATAACTCCCCCAAGAAACACTCTCTTGAGATCTTTTCACTTTCTTCCCAGAGGGTGAACATGGGGACATACGGGCCCCCCAAATTGGTTTGACCTTGGATTGGTTCACCAGGAGTCTGGTTTGTTATAGTGGTAAATCCAAACAACCTAAAAAGGCGTTTTATATGGACTCCCATCCAAAAAAGACATCTTGGGGTTTGTGCCATCTACTCTGAAGCCACTGTATTTTTTGAGGTTGTGTGGAAGCCTGTGGGTTTGAGTTGTGTGGCAACTTTGAAGATTTTGAAGTGAATCTATACAATCTACAGGCAAAGATGTCAAAGTGCGTGGTCGACTTGAAGATCATGCCACTGTAGCAACTCAGCAGTCCCTGTTGTGGAACTTGGCCACCAGCCGTACTTTGTGGGAACTGGCCAGGTTCAACAGCTGCTGCAGGAACTTGATACTGTGAATGGAACCATTCGTGCCTTAGATGAGGTGCGACGTGATTCTTTGGACGCCGGGAAAACACAGCAGACAGGGACATGAAACTGGATTCATCTGGAGGGAGCTGCGGTGTGGACGGGAGTCCGACTAGGGGGGAAGTTGCAGACTCAAAAATATCCGGAGAGCGAGTGAGTTTTTTTTTGGGGATTTTGTTTTGGACAAATTCCAAGAAAAAAAAACAAACAAAACACAATCAATCCCAAACTAACAGTGCACTCAAGAATTCCTGCTCTGACAGTTTCTTCTTTTTACATCGAGCTGTTTTTTTGACTTGATTGTGATTGAGACATGCGAAAGAGGTTTTCGGGTGTCAGGTATGGACAGTATGGATAAGTATGCACTGACATGCACCTCCTTGTAGAATGTCCCCGATCATGTGTGTGAAGACAAGATTCCCAGTTTTGAATTAGGCGTGAAACTGCTAGCTGCTAGCTAAAGGGGATGAAGCTGATCGCGCCTGGCAGATGATAGCAGCAGAGAACATCCCTTTGGCAGATGGCATTGGTCGTGGGCTCGTCGTTGTAATTCCACAAATTCACTGGGGTCTAAAGGCCAAATGCACTTGGATGCACTTGGGCTTAGGTGCTTCGAGCAGTGTGGCTTCAAGTGGTATGATCTCTGCAGAGGACGGGGCCAATTCTTTGAGCACCAATGACATGTTACTTGCCTGAGGAAGTTTCCTTCCTTCAGACCTTGGTGAACCCCGGAAATGTGGTTGAAACATGGTTGCAAACCTGGTTTGAGACCACGAAGAAAAGAACACACCGCCGAAAGCGGCGGCACGGTGCAACTGGCAAGCAGCTTGCGGAGCGCCAGGCCTTGGCAGCTTGCAACACATTGCATGGATCCCTATGGAAGGTGTGTTCTTTCGTTTCTTCGTCTCGTTTTTTCTTCGTCTCATGGCACAAGGGTATGCAAGTGTTGACTTGCCTGGCGGCAACTTTGTGCACCCAGGGCCCCTCAAGTGACAAGAGTTTTTTGAATTCTGGATAGACAGTACACGGACATACTGTCTCCACAGTATGGATAAGTATGTTTCATGGCCTCCAACCTACTAGCAATGGAACATACTTTCTTCTTTTCAAACATCTACACAGACAGAACAAAGTGCCTGTGAACACATGACCTACAACCCTCTCCCCTTAGAAAGATACAGGGGATCACAGTGGAATTCCGGCGGATTAATTTCCACCCCGAAGTAAGTTTACCGTATTTAGTTCGGGGTGGAAGGGACTCCGCCGGAATTCCAATTGGAAAGAGAAATCATATCAATAAGATTCTCGAGTGAAGTTGTTAAACTCCTCATGAAGTATATATTCATCCGCGGGCATAAACCACTGGAAGACCATGTTCCGCTATGTTCCAATACAAATCAGGTGAGGTTCCATCGAGGCCTTTTCAGGTTGTTTCTCCGGTTTTTGGGGAAGCCGCATGCCTGCAAATGTTAGAACAATCTATCCGATGGGTCAATTGTTTTCTGTCGGAGATGCTGTACCATCCCTTTTGCTGTGGCTATCCGAGGCCTGGACAAATCCCGAGTTCAGCCACACTGCCTGGACAGCCAGTCATAGGAGGTGGGCAGATGGCCTACTTATTCTTCTATGACTGAAAAGTACCAAAGGCAGTCAAACCTTGCTGGGGCTGCTAGCTGGGAACATGAGAAATGTATACAGTATGAGAATGTATGAGAGTACCTAATGAGTGGAACATCATTCTTTGAGTTGAACTTTACCAGCCCTAGGGCTCCAAGTACCTTCTGAGAAGGTGTTTGGGGTGGGTTTGGAGGCTCCAAATAGAGGTACTTGGAACCCTAGGGTCTATAGGGCAGGGCTCTTTTAAAGGTTTCACTTTGCTGACTTTGCTCGACAAGCCAAACTGTGGGGCAGAAGTGACTCTGCAGTTGACCCGAAAGGCCTCCAGCTATTGGCTGCTTCTGCAGCACACGAAGTCTGTGTGGCCAGCTGAGTTTGCTTTTTTCCCGGTTGATCAGTGCATGGTTTGAGGTATCTTTGACCCTATGCAATCAGGAATCACATCCGTTCCTGCAACTTACCATGTGGACCGAAAAACATGTTTCAGGCTCAGCTTCAGGGTCTCCGCTTTTGCATCTTATTTGTCCGCCCAGTTCATGTTGATTCATCTCCCCGAGATCATCTGGGAATGTGTCCCCTATACCTGCAGCCTTGGTTTACCATGGTCCCCTTTTGGGCGAGGTCTCCTGGTGCCAGCTCCCCACAGCCATGTATAGGCGAGTTGCTTTGAAAGGGAGTTCGCCCTCCCTCGCTGCCGTCGTTGCTGTCGCTGCCGCTGCCGTTGGAACTCGGCAGACTTGTTCGCTGGTTGGGCGGTCGCTGGTTCTCAGGTCAACTCTGGGCTAGGATCGGAACCCCAGAAGGACGAGCGCGTGGGTGCTGAGCAGGGTGTCCATCACTTTCATCACTTTTTGAGCGATGAGGGTGATTATATGGATTTATATGTGGTGAAAATGGAACATGGTGCAATAGAACTGATCTTGCCAAATCTTTGCAGAGAGATGACGTAGAAGTCTAGCTCTTCTTTGATGCCTTTGGTGATGCCTTTGGTGATGCCTTTGTGATGCCTTTGAGGCTGGAGCAATGCTTTGGTGGCAATGGATGCACCGAGCAGTCGTCGATTAGCCGATGCTCAAGACACAGCGGTCTCCTCAGAATTCATGGCCAAGGCACACCTCATGAGATCTCCCATAGATCTTAATGCATCTTCAAAGGGAATAGGAATTATTGGGAGAATGTTCATGATTCATGGGATTAATTCAAGAATGTTCATAATCTCCCAAGTCACACACAATGAACATGGCATGTTCCAAGCATCACCCGAGTCATGACGTGTGTTTTCCTCAGGCTCATGTGGCCTCACTTCTATGCTCGCCGCGCTCGCCTGACAGTCCTCCAGCGCCCCCACCTCTTCCGCGCCCGGACTCGCAAGAGCTTTTTCCAGTGGTGCCCATCGAGGCGATCGAATCGGAGCCGCCTGCGGCGGAAGGAGCCGTGCAGTCGGAGGGACGGCCCCGGCAGCCGGTGGTGGTGGACCTGGTTCCGCTGTGGAACGGGGCACCCGAAGAGGTAGGTCTTGGAGTTTTGCCACCGCCACAGCTGCCGCAGCCAGAGCTACATGCTTTGGTGCCAATGGATGATGCCATCGAGAGCTTCTCTGAAGATGTGGTTCTCAAGTCCCTTGAGCTACCAGACGCCCTCGACCCACCAGACTTGATCCAAGCAACCTGGGAACCTTTGGAACCCTTGAAGAACGAACTTCAGCACCTTCCGGCACTTCAGAACGCTTTGGACCACCCACCTCGACCGGGTCAGCACCTCCAAGCGAGCCGTCCCTCCGAGCAGGCGGGCGCCCTGGTCGCTGTGGAGTCGAACATGACAAGCCATGACTTGGCTTTCTACCGAAATGTCATCGACGTCACCGATGATCCTCTCGGCCCCAATCGACCACCTGCATCTGCTGAAGCCACAGCCTTGGTCCCCGTGACCTCCAATGCGCCTTCCCACGCGCCCAGCGCCCCCGACGGCCGCGCCGCGCCGCTGCGGCGCCGGCGTCCGGCCCTGCTGTCGCAGGTCGTCCGGCGCCTCGGGCCGCGGTCGCAGACGGCCTCGCAGCGGCTCGGTCGTAGCCTGGCGCGGTCGCGGCGGAGTCGACCGGTGACCGGTGGATGGATCTTGTCGCAGAGGAAATCGCAAGGGGGGCAGGCCAAGCATGTGAAGCACACGGAGGAGAGAGAGGTGACGGTGGAGCGCATGCAAGAGTCCGGTGCGGTTGGTGCAGCAAGTTGTCCTGAAAGGCCAAATGTACTGTTCACGGGGTTTTCTCGAAGCGACTTGCACAGGCTCAAACAATCTGTGAACTGCTTGGGAGGGTCTGCAGTACGAGATTTGCCTGCAGGTCGCACGGCCGCTGAAACTCGGGTGGTTGTCCGATGTACTACCTCGACATGTGGTCTCCAGATTGCGGGTGCGCGCACGATCAAGTACTTGGATGCTGTCTTAGCAGGTGCTTGGGTCTTGTCCCCTGAATGGGTCTATGCATCGATGCGTGCTGGACATTGGCTTGAGGAAGCTGACTTCGAACTGCAAGGAGACACGGCCAAGATGGGGGGGCCACCCCAGGGGCGACGCCACGGTCCGGAACTCTTTGCGGGACTTCGCTTCCACTTCGTGTCACAGGCGCGGGGGGGCACGTGGCGCGCGGCGCGGCTCGCGCGAGCGCGGGGGGGGCGTGTGGGCAGCCCAGCTGCAGTTGAAAGAGCTTTGCTTAGCCTCACTTGGTCAGGCACGAAAGTGCAGAAAGGACTGACTCCTGTGAGAGAGAGGGGGAGAGATAGAGAGAGAGAGACAGAGAGACGCATTTAGCCAAGACACCTTTATAGATCTTTATATATAGATCCTTATGTATCCTTATATAATATAACATCAAGTAAGCAGCCTTCTGCCATAGTCTGCCATGTAGGACTTGCACTTCGAAGATGAGGTGCCCAGCACTTTTCACGTCGTAGCTGCTTCCCCTGGTTTCAAAGTCATTGGTGGTGCAGAGCTTCTTCCATAAACAGTAACAGGTGGAGTTCCTCCACGAAACCACGAGTGTTTCAGGAGTGTAGCAGTACCAATCCGGGAGGGTTGCTTCCGGTTGCTTCTCTTCAGGCGGAAGGACCTGCCCCTCATCAACTTGCTCGATTGGCCCGCAGAGCAGGTGCTGAGGCAGAGCTGGCCATTCAAGGCTAACTGAAGAGAACGGCAAGGAATCGCACAGGTCTTTGATGCCTAGTGCCTAAGAACCAATAAGAACCATGAGAAGCATCGGGCTTCGGACTTTTCTGATCGGTCGTGTCCAACCCGTTTCGTTGGGCCGAACGAACACCGGGGGGGACTCACCGTGGACCGCGCAGTCGCGCAGGTCTTGGAGACGCTGCGGAAGGTCTCGGATGCCAAGGTGGCGCTGCCGCAGTTGGGTCGTCTGAAAACCACCGGGCGCAGATGATGTTCAGAGTTGCCGGTCGTCCCAGGTGGGTAATGAGGTCCATGGTCACGGGCACGGGCATGAACGAAACGAGTGCACGGGATGCCGAAGCTCCGAACATCGCCGGAGCTTCCTTAGTGCTGCACCTGGGTGTACCAAGGTGTCTTAGAGTGCCAAACGTGGCAGAAACGCCTTCTGATCTCCAAGTTACAAAGGTATCCAACAGCACAAGACCATGGTAAAACATGGTAAAACCATGTAAAACCCACCAGCCCTGGTAGGTTGACCCTCCTTGAACATATGGTTCCTTTTTGCATAGGTTTGCCATACCGCATGCGTTACATTGCTTTGCTATACCTCCCTCTAACAATCATGGAAGCTGACTAGGACCCCATGACGCAAAGGAACATGGTCTTCCAGGGGATGACGTTTCCACTTCCATGATTGCTTCAGGGAGTGCAGCTAATGGTCCAACTGTCCTCCTTGTCCAACCAATCAGCGACTGACGCGTTACCTGTTCAGGAGGATCCACCCCATCTAGCCCAGGAGTTGGCATCAACCAGGCCGGGAGAAAGTTGGATCGCTGGCACTTTTTGTCAGAAAGAACCCCTGACAGGAAACGGAAGCGATCTGCGAACTCTGCTGGAAAGGCCCTGGGGCAAAGGAAGTCATCACAGAGGTGGACATGAATATAATATATAATTTGATGTAATATTAGATATTATTATTATGTATATATATATACATGGCATATACATGGCATTGCAAGCATTTCCATGGATGATCATGTTTCTATAGTGCATTTGGGTGTCGGTAAAAACCTCACATCGACCCTGGCCTGACAGACCCACCCTCTCAATAGGTCTCCATGCCGATCCAAGAGAGTAGCCCCTGGATGGCCCCATGCTGAGGAATCATCGAGTTTGCCGCACTTATGGTGGATCTCTAAGTCCTTGCAAGAGTTTGCCACCAGCTCCCAGCCGTTCAGCCGTGGGGCCGCCGCCCCCGGCCCTCAGGTGGCGCAAGCCGATCATGGTCACAGTACCTTCAAAGGCGACTGGGTGCGACTGAAGCTGGTCATGAAGCCAGTCCTTCGCACCATCGAACGTCGAACAACGTCGAACGTCTTCACATGGCAGGGCCGTGGTTTGGACAGGACAGCCAAACTGGCTGATGAACTGGGGCCCAGACCCTCAGTGAACTGGCTGATGTGTTTTGTCAAGAGTGGTTAGAAACAAAGAAATGCCCTGGGACAAAACCAGGAAACATCTCTAGGGGACCTCAATAGCCATGCATCTCAGATATTCTGATCTTCCATCTCTTCCATCTCAAACTTAAATCCTTGAGGAACCTGCTGGACCATTCTCTGCTTCACTTCGTCCACTGTGCACTCCATGTGGTGCCCATCCATCCCGTGGTGCCGCCCTTCAGCTCGCATCTCAGGTGGGTGACCCTACCCTCCACGTGGATGCTCGACTGCATCTCTGGTGGCGAGGCCGCTTGGCAACGGATGCCATGCCGCAACGTGACGTGCAAAGAAGCATCCGGCAGGTTTGGGAACGCACAGAACCACGTCGTGTTCGCCAAGAGAATCATCCGTTGTCCCAAAAAAGAGGTGAAACAAATGAAACAGATCATGGAGATGAAGTCCATGAATGACAGATAATCATCCAAAGTACATCATGGAGAAGAGAAGGATTGTGGTATTTTTCACCCGATTCTTCAAAAGCTGCCAGCCCTGAGGTTTGTTCACCCCAAGGATGCAGATTGACGAGTTCCAGGTGGAGGGTTCTCCTCTGTACGTCCTGTGTATTCATGGAGATGGCTCTGCTCAAACACTTAAGCAAAAAGAAAAACAGATCCAAACGTTGGGCCTCATTTTTGAACCACTGCCAGTTCGTTGTATTGCACGTTGGATTTTCTGGGGGCAGTCTGCCAGAATGCAGCAGGCAATTCGAAGAATGAGGCCGGTCTTTGCTTAGCATGCTTAGCAAGCTTCCAGCATTAGCACTCATCACAATTGACAATGGCAAGAATCACTGAATCCAACTCCGGAATTCTCTTGAAGAGCCGCTGTCAGGGCGCTTTGCAGGGGTTTGCAAAGCAATTTTCCAGCCATCACAGAGGCTGGTCCCTGAAAACTGATATGACACTTTCCTGAAGGCATGAGGAGTTACATTGATTTCCGACTTCATTGCTTGGCAGGCGAATGTGCACTCTGAGGGGCTGACCCCTAGTGCATGGAAAAAGAAAGCAAGTTCCTGCATGCACTGGTGTTTGCATACTTACTCTTCAGATGTGATAGAAGTAAAAGAATTGCCTTTGCATGTGTGAATGTAAGACAGCACGAAATGATTCGAATTGTTCAAGGTGCTGCCAGCCTTCTCTGGGCAGTAGCAAGAGAATAGTTGTTCAAGTGCGACACCAAGGAACTGCAACTTAGCAGGGCGTTCCATTGAACCACATATACTATTGTCCATGTTCATTTCCATGTCCATCACGGCGTCTTAGACCACTTGAGCCTAAGACACCATATTACCAAGCAAATGATCGACATGTTAGCCCCAGAAGCGAGCTCATGTGAGCAATGGCGCCGATCTGTGATCATTTGCGATCCAGGTGTGATGCCTTGAGAGAAAAATCTAACATGTTTGATTTCTTGAAGACAAAAGCGGAACATGGCAGAAACATGTGCTGGCTTGGTAGGTACTAGTAGGGGCTCCCGCGTCCCACTGTGTCGGTCAGTTCGTGTGTGGATCAGTCAGCTCGTGGAACGGACGTGGAACGAGCAAGAGAAGTATGTGGCGTATTATGCACGACTCAACAGAAAGATGGCACGTTGAGGCCATCTCAGCACCTGCTGTTCACGACATGCACCTTATATAGAGTGTTTGGACGATAGAGTCCAAGAGTCCAATAGTAACAGTGAAAGAAGCCTTAACGAAGCCCTCACTCAGATATGATACGATAGGACCGGACCATAGGCCCCAGGCTACATACTTTACGTAGCGTTGATGGTTGATGAGTCACCCCGTTCTCGTTCGGGAAAAGCCTTGTTCTGGAGATGTCGGATCTGAAGAAAGAAGAAGTTCACCATTCAAGGCCAAAGGGAGGAACCATTATATACGGACTGGTGCGACTCGCAGGGAATGAGGGTGGCTGGAGCCCCCAATAGAATCTCTATTGGGGGCGAAACTTCCCTTATTCCCTGCAAGTCGCACCAGTCAGTATAAAGATTAATATGAAAGACCTTGACTTTCTTGATGTTCCTTGATCCATTTGCTGGTTACATCACCGTGGACTGCAGTTCTGGCGTCTTTTCAGGAAGCCACCTCCCAGTCCGACGTTAAAAACCGCGGAAAAGCGGTCCATCGCTGGACTGAAAAGAGATCTATACCGTTCAAAGGGGAGACCTCGTTTCAACCACCAGAGCTGGGGAATGTGGCCAGTTCTGGAGTTTTTGGGCGGTCTTTTGGTGGGTATGGTATGTCTTCATAAACATGAATTCCTTGACAAGCTTGATGCTGATGCAATGTTCTTTGTTTGATGTCCTTGCAGGATTGCCATGAAGTGAATCAAAGTCGCCCCCTCAGTGCGGGTGAGCAGAAAGCCGCACTCGAAGGTGTTGCTCTCCTACTCGAGATTAAAGGCTATAGACAAGCAAGACGGCTCTGATGTATTCTGAAAAGGATGGCTCACTGCGCGTCTTGGCAGATACATCAAACATCCCACATGGTGCCACCTGACTAGGGAGCTGCTAAGTGCTTGCAGAATGAGGGTGGTCAGCAGTCAGGGTACAGATTCGCTTTGGCTTTCAGCAGCTTTTTTGCCCGGTTGTATTCGGTTATATGTTGGATTACTGACGTAGAAATGAAATATATAGAATATAGAAAACTTGGGTTGCCGTGTCACATTATCTTTCATGCATCAGAATTAGCAGCATGTCCAACATGCTTTGCCCAGCGGACAATTGACATCAACAAAATTGCTCAATGGGTGCCAATGTGCAAACAGTTGTTGTATTTTCATGTATTTTTCACATTAACGTATGTTCGTGCCAATTGAATGTGTTTGAGGATTGAGAGGAGCCATTGATTTTGGCATGTTTTGGCACAACTGTTACCGGATCATTGATGGTTCTTTGGTATCGTTTAGTGTCTCATCGCATGATTTTTCATTATTCTGGAGGCAAGTTGGTGACCAGTGCAGGTTTGGCTTCGACTGGCAATAATTACTTGGTTCCACGTGCTTTTTCCGGAGCTAAGTAGAGTTGACAACAATCACACCAAACAGAGCCTCATCCGTCCATAGTCGATGACTGGTCGGACAGAGACAGTCACATAGTCGAAGCCCATTACGCGGCGCCATGGAGCTTGGCCTTTGGGTGGCTCTGGTACTGGTCGCCGTCGCGAGAATGCACACCGCGGCGAAGCGGGGCGAAGCGGGCAGTTGTTCTCGCGAAGCGGGGCGCACCATCTCTTTTCTCCGAAGATGGGACGTTTCACCGTTGACGGTACCGGTCAGTTTACTGCTTCGTTGAAGAAAACGCGGTGCAAAGTTGATGTTTTCGGAGAGTCTTGACAGTTTAACCCAGTCATTTGGTGCATGCTTGCGGTACTGGCAAGACTTGTCATGGCTGGTGGAAGCATCTGATGTGGCAAGGCGAGCAGCCTCTACTGGTCTCTACGGGGGACAGCATTTGGAGCACTCTTGCTGACCATCGTGAAGTTGATCGCGTGCAAAGGCGGAGTTGGATCCGTTTTTTGGGTGGAGAGCAAGTCAGTTGTACTCAGTAGAACCTACGTTAGCTCATAGTCCCTAGTCTTCAGTATCCGACACATGACCAATCAACAAGTGCACAAAGGTTGAACACTATGATGAGAGACCGTTGAATTGGCTTCTCATTTTGCATCGTTCGACACTTCGACGGAAATGGCCGCGTTCGACACTTTGACCACCGCGTACCGATTCAGTCAGAATTGGAAGACGGCTTTCTTCTACCGTCTACCGGGCTTGAATGGAACTTGAGACCCTGAGTCAGAGTGTGTAAAACTTTAAAACCTTGATCTAATCCATTGAGAAGTGTTCCCAGGTGAAGGATGAGCACCCATGCAACACCCTATGTTTGGCAGAGAGTGCATTCATTTCACAGATGCTCTTTCAGCACTCCCATTTTGGTTGCACCAGTTCTTCTACTGCAATCTAATGGCTTACTGCAACCAATCATCATCAGTGACATAAAGTCTGTCTGGAATCATGTCCAAACTTCCGAAAGTCTTTCTATCTTTCCCAAGAGAGCACGACACAAACTCTCGGGTTTCGCAAGACATGTTGGAAGATTGCTGTTGTGAAAAAGCCTGTGTGACTGCCAACAGACAAAGGCCTTCAGACTTTGGATCAAAACTCCAAAACCTGTCGAAAACCAAACCTGGTATCCTGAGGCACAAGACAGACCTCAAGAACCAGCAGAATCCAACAGAAATAGAACATAGATGAACATAGAATGAATAACGTTCAGTGCAAAATCCAACTTGTTGTCATCGATCTTCCAGGAAGCAGCTGTCCACCGGTGTTTTTTTCCCGAAAGCACCTGCGAAGGGTTTTTCCTTAAGCACTGCTGCCTAATCTCTTTCTCTTACTTCATCTTCCCCACTCTCTCTTCCTTACTCTCTTTCTCTTACTTCATCTTCCCCACTCTCTCTTCCTGACTCTCTTTATCCTACTTCACCTTCCTTACTTCATATTCTTTACTAACTTTCTCCTACTTCACCCTCACAACATCATCATCTAATCATCACCTCATAGGTTATTAATCTCATATCATATCATATTATATCATATCAGGTTATAATATCATATCACATCACATCAATGTCATAACATATCATATCATATCATGTTTTAATATCATATCACATCACATCAATGTCAGATCATATCATCTCATATCATGTGATAAAATAATATCACATCACAACATAACATATGAAGTAGAAGTATCAGATCAACAATATCAAAGTACATCAGAAGTAGATATTGATAGGTAGGTATTGATAAGTGGGTATAGACAGGTGGGTGTAGGTAGGTAGGTGTAGATAGGTAGGTGAAGATAGGTAGGTGAAGATAGGTAGGTGTAGACATCTTCCTTAAGACACCTACCCAACTTCACCTACCCAACTTCTTCTTTATTCTTCTCTTTAGGCGGCGGGGCGGTGCGAGCAGGTCTTACGAAACGCAACCCTCTCGTGGAATCGTGGCCATCGATCGCGCGCGCGTGTGGTGAGACGCGAATCGCGTTTGTCCGTGAGCAACCCTCTGCGGAGATCGTGCGTGTCGATCGCGCGAACGTGTGGTGAAACGTACATTTTTGGTGTGCGCGGTGCGTTCCGCCATTATAATTCTGGTGACAAGGTTTTGTCGATTTTGCGTTTCCCCATTGTAATTCTGGTTTCAAGGTTTGCCCTCGAGCAACCCTCTGCGGAGATCGTGCGTGTCGAGTGCACGAACGTGTGGTGAAACGTACATTTTGTCTGAGCGCGGCTGGGCGCACCATTATAATTCTGGTCACAAGGATGTCGCCAATGTGCGGTCCGGACCGCATACTCATTGGGAAATGCGATTCCAAGGTCTGTGCCCGGTCTGTGCCCGGATCGTTCCCCCATTATAGTTCTGGTCGCAATGATGTCGTGAATGTCACCTCTGAACTTTCTACAATGCGCGCTCTGGACGTCATACTCGTTGGGAACCGCGATTTCATGGTTTGTGCTCGGATCGTTTCCCCATTGTAATTCTGGTCACAACGATGTCTCCAATGTGTGCTGTGGACTTCATACTCGTTGGGAAATGCGATTTCATGGTCTGTGCCC